ACATAAGAATCGGCCTTTTTCCATCTAAATCTACTATTCATTTGAAATAAAATAATTTTTTGATGTCATCCACACTAAATCTAGATCCGATTAAACACAATAACCACATTTATCAAACACATGATACAATAATTGCACAGCAAACCCATAACCATCCGACACCTTTGCAGTGTAACAATAATTTTTGTTAGTAAACACTCACGTACGTAGGTACTTACTATTTGGATTGTTCGATTTGGAACTCACCTGAAAAAAAAAAAACAATAATAATAGTACAAAATTCACCATGACCTTCACAGATGAATAATACAGAATCTACCAACATGTATCATTGTGTTTAGCCTTTAATGCTTGCATTGGTTCACGAGTCAATTGCATGATTTATTGTAATATTTGTGATTATCCAGTACTTATTGTTATTTGGTATCTGATATGTATATTTTTCAATTCCATTATTAATTAGTACATAAATAATTAGCCCCTAGCAATTTTGGACATTTCACTATTAATAAGAGCTCAAGACAAGACTAATATTATTTAATTATACTTTATTAGGTATTCAACAAAAAAATTATAAAAAAAATAAATCTTTAAAGGTTAATGAGATGAGATGAATTATTATAGGTATTTGCCACTATCTACCTAAATACAGGGTGACTGATGGTCGATGGTAGGTTAGACGCTTATGGAAAACGGAATTTTGTATGTTTTTTTTTCAAAACATAGCTTTATTCGGTTAGACTCGTAGAATGTTGAAATCTTGGAAATAATTTAGGGAGGTCCTGCATATTACTTTTGAGAAAGAAAATTTGTTTTACATAATACAAGATCGGTCAAAATTAATAATTGTGCTGTCAAGTACAAAAAAGATGAGAAGTGAACTTTTTTTAAATAGAACATCCTGTATATTATGAAATATTAAAGGCAATAAAAATCCCTCACAAATGATGTATTATGTTCCCCCCAAATAGTCAGGTTTCGGAAATACAAGCAAGTTTCTGTTGTAGTTGGATTATTTTGGGATATTTGTCTAATGGCGTTTCCGATTGGTAGATTTAATTCAAACTGAGTATATTTCCATCCCTTTCTCTCAGCCTGTTGAAAAAACAGATAGAAATACATTTTCTTTGCACTCATTCTACCAACTGGAAACGCCATTGAAAAGCTATGAAATGTTACGATGGAACATATTAGATAATTCAAACCACGTGATTCTCTACAATGGTGGGTGATGGCAAATACTGAAACCATAGCCGTTTTCTCGCGTCCACTTTTTTGGCATTGGTTCAAAAACGGTTTGAAACAGTCAATAGAAACACCATTGCCCGTTTCAAACCTGTTTTGAACCAATTTCAAAAAAGTGAACGCGAGAAAACAGCTCATGGTGATTGAAAATAATTGCATAAAATGGTTCACTTCCTACAATGTGTTATACGCAAAAATATTGTCATTGTTGTGTTTTTGTCTCTCCTACTCACGATGTTTTTGATAGTTCAATCCAATGACGTCACAAAAGTCTTACCATAGGCATCTATGGAAGTTATCATAGGGATCTATGGAAGCGGGCCATCCATTTCAGCTCCTGTCAATTTTGATCTTGTAGAGAATCACGTGTTCATATGTTTCTTCGTGAGATTTCATAGCTATTCACTGGCTTTTTCGGTTGGTAAAATGAGTGCAAAGAAAATGTATTTCTATCTGTTTCTTCAACAGGCTGAGATGGAAATACACTCAGAGCGAATTTTATCTTTCAACAGGAATTAGTGATGTTACCTACTTTACCAAATTAGTATTATAATGTAACAAGTTATTCAAGTACAAACGAGTGGATTGTTGCGGAACTTATGGGTGTATCTCTTCAGGACGAGCGCAGCGAGTTCCGCAGCCATCTATTAACCAATATGTTGTTTAAGTACGATACTAACCTGACTCACTCAAATGTCAGTTATTCTCATTAGTTCAAAAACTACACGTTTCAGGTGAGTGTCTTATTTGAATAGTTCAACAGTATATTGGTAAAAGATGGCGGTGGTGGAGGTCCACCCATAGGTTCCGCAACAATTTACTTATTTGTACTTGAACAGTAACTTATTATATAAAGTCAGAATTTGTAAGATTATCCACTTTTTGTCAATTTGCCTTTTAACAGGAACTAGTAATGGCACTTAACTAAACTAGTAACATAATAGGACAAGTTATTGTAGTATAAACGAGTGGATTATTGCGGAACTTATGGGTGGACCTCTGCGGGACGAGCGTAGCGAGTGCCGCAGCCATCTATTCACTGTTCAAATACAATACTAACTTGATTCTCTCAGTTGTAAGCTTTTCTCATTAGTTCATAAACTATATTGAGATGAATGTCTTACTTGAACAGTTCAACAGTATATTGGTGAGTAGATGGCTGCGGAACTCGCTACGCTCGTCCCGCAGAGGTCCACCCATAGGTTCCGCCATAATCCACTTATTTGTACATGGTGTTTTTTTTTATATATTAACACCCCACCTACAGCCTTTACCTTTACAGATAGAAGAAAGGTGTTAATACAAAAGTTGTACAGTTTTTGTTGAATTTTTAGAAACCATAGTCAGAAACAAAATTTAAATATCAGAAATGTGAAATTTTTCATGCTCCTAACTTTTTTCAAATGGGATGCCCTATATTTTATTCTATATTCGTGAAGAGCACAATGCTTGTCTATATTTGATTGAGAAGTCTCCATATATTCGACTAAAATTATTCTGTGATTGCTCCACTACGCCACACTGAAAAGTATTCCATAAGAAATGCATGTAAAACGTGCTACTCTAGTAAACACGCGGCACAAAATTGATGATTGCATGTGTATACTAGAATATACTCGTGGCGATTTGATCCAGGCCACTGTGTATACCTTAATATACACATGGCAGTCAAAGTCTTAGAAAATCCTTCTTCAGAATCATTCTTGGTAATATGAAGAGGTGAATGTGGAAATTCACCTTCAAATTCTACTGATAATTACATAAGTTTTTAATTAAATTTTTTGACATATTGTCAACAGGATAATTTCAGTGTGCCAATTTTAATAAATATTAAAATATGCAAATAACTTTCTAAAGAATGCCACTAGATTTTTTAAATTATTTTTCTGGCGTGCCTTGAAGGATCCTCCTCCACTTAGTGAAGAGTTTTTATGCTATTTTCTGGACACCCTGTATAACTCGAGACCAGACGAGACCACTCGAGACGAGACTCTGGTACTCGAGACCAAGACTAAGTCACGGTCTCGTCTCGAGATGACCAGACGAGACGAGACCAACCTTAAGTCTCGTCTCGCGGCACTACTAAAAAATACAGACCATTTTCAATAATACACCTAACGATAACAGAAACTGTATACACTGATATGTTTTTTTTCCCACAGTTGAGACAGGAGGGATGATATCTATTTTCAGCAGGATGGTGCCCCCACCTCATTATTCTTTAATAGCAAGGGCATATGACATTTGGGGAAAGACGGATAAGGAGAGTTGGTCCTATAAAATGGACTCCTTACTCTCCTGACTTGAGAGTTTTAGACTTTTCTTTGGGTTTAGGTCAAGGAAAGATGCGGTAATACTTTGCTCAAATAGCCTGGAAGATCTTAAAGCGGAATATTTGTAATGTCATTGAAGTGATTCTCCAAGAAATGTTACACAATTCATTCAACCATTTACTGATCCATAAATGCCTCGAAAAGAATGGCTAACATATACATATACAGCATTTTGTATAGTTTTATTAACTTTTTATCAGGCAAACATAAGTTCCAAGCTTTGAAAGTATGCGTTTGCAAAAATACCAAGATTTCGATTTTGATTTTTTACGTCTAAAACTTCAAATTTCAGGGACAATGTCTATTCTCACATGGATACCTTGAACAAAATTTTTTTTTGACTTTGTGATATACAGGGTGTTCCATTAAAAATAATGGAGAATTTCGATGTTGAAAAACGGATTTTTTTCTTGGCCCTGTATAAGTTAAAAAAATTTGCAACTAACTAAACAAAACTTTACGCCAAGAGTTGTCGAATGGCGCAAACCGCAGGTAGCTAGCACACGTGGTTTAAAAGTTATAGGCATTTAAAATGGGACACCCTGTATTATCATAATACCTCTATTTCTAATTACAATTCCCAAATCTTTAATAGTGGTTATACCAACGAGCAAATTGCGATGAAAATGTTGATTATAGTTTTGGGGTACCTAACTGCATAAAATAATTATCCTTTCAAATGATAGAACCTGGTGTGCTTTGGTAAATAGGTTCCTTAGTAGAAACTGTGTTAGTAGGTAGGTACTCAAAGTGCTTGGCTTTCAAGAGAAAAGTCAACTTGGCAGAAATTCAAGGACTATTTTTAGCCACCACGCCAAAGGTTCACAAAAGGGGTTCATACAGGCATACAATCAATTTTGAAATTAGCTCAAAGTAATTTTTGCTCATGAAAAAAAAATCGAAATTCTTTCGTTATTAGTGCCAGAATCAAGCAAATAAAAAAAATAGTATCCATTTCAACGGCAAGTCAAATTACCACTCGGGCATGAGCCTCTTTATTAATTTTAAGTGAATTGCCGACACACCATCATCATCAACAATAAAGACTCCAACAATTTACACACACTTAAATTTTAATACAAAATCCTTCAATTAATGTTAAATCCTGGACAATTAACTGCACAATGACACGGGAAATAATTTACAATAATTACCAAATTATCCCAGCTACGCAATATAAGCAATACAGTCGTTGAAAATTATTTTAAATAATTTATTATTTTAATTGTAAGCAAAAAGATTTTCAAAAATAAATTTGAATTGATATTTACCCAAAATACTTGGCAGCTATTGTTTTTATGTATGTTGCGTTTACAAAATGTACTATTTTTAAACCCCAAACACTGTGTGAACCCAGTTTAAGACAAGACACCATTTATACAAAACGTATGCAATCGCAAAACAAACAATTTAATTTATTACCTTGGTAAAATTCTTCTGACAATCTAAACTTGACGCGACGTTCTTTTTTCCTTCTAGACAATCTAGATAAATGCATGAAATTTAGCGCCCAAAAGACACTAATTGAAGGACACGCACTTGGGGACTCGGTACTCGTACAAAAGCTGAAACCGTAATGACTATGCTGCGGTTATGGCGACAGCCAAAAACGCCAAGATTTTTAATTTTGCGTTTAATTGGATTCTTGGATGCTCCTTGGATCGAACTGGTTTTAACTCAACTGCCTGCCAAAGTGCTTTAATTATTATTTATTGGGTTTAGAAGAGGGGGGATACAGTGCGTTAAAAATAATTCCATGATGTGGATTTCGAGTGATATGTGTGCTGCAAACGAAGATACCTCCTAGATAAGAGCTTTCATTATTGTAGGAAAGTTTTCGATATAATTAACTAGGTAGTTTAGAATTTCTTTTGGATAGATAGTCTATGTGTATCCATTGTACAATTATCACTGGTAAACGTACTTGAACTTGTGAGAATTTGTAGTTGATTGATTTTAACGTTGACGAATAAAAATGTACCTAATACCTAATTAAGCAATTGTAAATTCCAATTGAAAGAATGTCATATTCGAGAAAAATTGCTGAAAAATAACACCATCAAGAAACCAAATTGATATTTTTATGCTCTAACCAACGTCAGCTATTATCATTTTAGCCCGTTGCAAATTGTATAGAATAATTATTAAACTAATAGCCAATAATTATTCAAAAATCAGTTGGTCTGAAACTAGAGGAAATACAGATTTGCGGTCTGTACCATTATCCAACCAATTTACTTTAAAAATTGCTATAATTATCAACATAAATTGTTAATTTTTTGCACGTGGCCTACCATTTAATATTTAATTCCAAATTCCATAGGCCAGACATATTCATTTTAAAATATTTATCACTTGGAGTCAAATTATGGACCGACTGATAAGTGTCAGGTTGTTACCTAGCAGGTACTTTCTATTCCTTAGAGCATGGAAAGTAGGTACCTGCTAGGTGATAACCTGAGACTTATCAGTCGGTCCATTATTTAGTCCTTAACATAATTTATGTCACATTTACAATAAATATTATTTATCGCAATAATTTGAATGTTCTAATTTTGTAATGAAGTTTAAGAAAAGCTCTATTGAATCCGCATAATAAAATTTTCCACTTATAATAATTTTCAATTTCATTCGCTTATTTACTCGATTTACTTGATCGAGTAATAGAACGATGACCCTAGCAATAATGTTGATAAACAAACTTAAACAAAGCTATTTTTAAAGCTCCACTTGCTTATTATGATTGTGTTTTTGGTTAACTCAAGTCACTTTTTGTCAATCCAACTAAAGCAAATAAAGGTCCATAAGAAGGTGCGTTTTTCGCACCCCCACTTTTAAGAAATAGAAAGTAAGTATAGGTATATTTTGTTTTAGGTACCTAATTTCTAGGCACGACACGCAGTATGTGCTCTGAGAACTAATTTGAATGCTTGGATATTTTTTATTTTGTTAAGATTTACTTCGGTTCATTAATTATGCTAAATATAGTGACAGCGTGAATCGGACTTTCGATGAATAGATTTTCACTTGAATGCTCAAAGAAGAAGACAAGCATTTTGAAAGGCATGTTGCATGAACTATCAGAGTTAAACCACCAAAACTGAAATACGAAATTTACAATAATTGTTAGAATTTACAAGGGAGAGATTATCAGTCAGCAAGATTTGAATATCCGAAGTTTTTGAAAAAAAGAAGAAAGGAAAAATGCATAAAAGAAGAACAGCCAACAGATGATAGAATGAGAGGTAACATTCAAACATAAGAATACTTATAAGTCAAAGTAATATAAAGTCGAATAAAGAAAAGGCTGCCAGGAACTGAAAAAAATTGGAAAAATTCTTGGGACAGGTTCATAGGGAATTGCTTAATGTCCTATCTTACGTTGAACATTTTGTAACGAAAAATCAAAAATCCGTGCTGTTGTTGAAGTTTGAGAAACCATGATTCAAATTAAGAGGAAAATGCGAAATATAAATATTTGAAACACTAATACAAAAGTTATTAATTAATTGATATGTACTTTGACATACTCCTTTTTGAAATATAAAAATAAATGACTGGTCTTAACACTTCCATAAAGATGTAGAATATTCTTCAACACCTTCCCTCATTAGAAATCTTGGTTAGGCCCATATTGTCACATAAAATGTCATATCTTGACTCTTGGTTTGTTCAGCCCAAAAAAGTTGTGATCTTTATTAGTATGCATGATGGATCTAGCAGTTTCAACGATAGTACGATTATCTCGCTATGCACAACCGTTTTGCTCTGGTGTATAAGGCATTACGAGTCTCTGTTTAATTCCATTTTCTTGTAGAATTTCTCTTACTTGACCAATTGTCAAATTCTCCACCATTATCTGAGAGTAGCTCTTTTACTGTATAGTGTATGTCCTACTATTTTTACTTCAGTTAACATAATTGTCAGTTTTTCCGTAACTTCAGATTTTTCTTTCAGAAAGTAACTTTACTTCCTAAATATCAACTGCATTTGGAATACAGTAGAACCCCGGTTATCCGAGGTAACGTGGGAGGGTACCCACCTCGGATAACTGAAAACTCGGATAATCCGAATCCGAATACATATATTATGTATACAGGGTATACCATTTAAAACGAAACAGGCTAAATATCTGACGTCACTTTTATTTATTTTTTAAATCGTTCGTATACGTAATTTGATTGTTGGAGTGTTTGAAAGCGGGAGTGGGACCAACCCTTACCATTCCAAATGGAACAGGGGTTCGAGTGATACCTGTTTCAAAAGAGCGCTCAATTTTCTTTCAAATTACATCAAATAAAACAGAATAGAACTCTTTTGAAAGAGGTATCACTCAACCCCTTGTTCCATTTGAAATAGTGAGGGTTGGTCCCACCCCGCCTAGAGGGTTGAAGTTGATGTGCTGAAAATGATTACAAAAAACTTCCCCCTTTGAAAATCAAATTACGTGTACGAGCGATTTAAAAAAAAATAAACGTGGCATCAGATATTTAGCCTGTTTCGTTTTAAATGCTACACTCTGTATGTATGTACAGGGTGTTTTTTTATACATAGACACCTCACCTACAGCCTTTACCTTTACAGAAGATGAAAGGTGTACTTAAATACAAAAGTTGTACAGTATTGGGTAAATTTTTAGAATCCATGGTCAGAAACAAAAATTGAAAGTCAGAAATGTGAAATTTTGCATGCTTTTAGATTTTTTCAAATGGGATGTGCAATATTTGGTTCTATAGTATATTCTTGAAGAGCACAATTTTCCGATTCCAAAACTATAATAGTTTGTCTGTATTTGGTTGAGCCGTCTCCAACATATTTGGTTCTAAAAATTAAAAAAAAAAATACTATCAGAGAAACCAAGTACTTCAAATTTCACCTATAGCTTTCACCTGTACAGGTAGAATGGTTCACAAAATCCAGTAGTAGGATAGTACCTATTTTTACAATTTTTGGAGCTGAATATATGAGAGACTGTTTAATTGAATATAGACAAACTATATATTTTTGGAATCGGGGTATTGTGCTCTTCAAGAATTTAGAATGAAATACAGGGTGTCCCACTAAGGTCGGCCAGGTACGATATTATGGAGACCATAGACCTTACGTAACTTGAAAACGAATGCAGATATTGAATTGCCGTTTGCGCTAAAATGTAGATTTTTTTTGCTCTTCAAGCACAGCAATACAAAAAATAATATTATGCCATTTGGATTTTTCATGAAAATTGGAAAAAACTGGATCTTGAATAAACAGCGCCCTCTAGAAGATGCGGTGGGAACTATCGTCCTCGAACGAAGGGGTGTTCTTAATAAAAATGAAATTCTCTTCCAAATAAACCCAAATTGAATGAGGGGTATGGAAGATACAGCAATTTCTAAAAAAAAAATTCACCAGCTTTCCCCACACTTATTACTGAAGATACGAAAAAAAGCCTAATAACCAAACTGGCGCAAAAATTAATGAACTTTTGATTTCTGTTGTTAAAACAGTATCTTAATACATATAGCGATTTCTTGAGAAAAGTTGAATTTTTAGCTATATCATCGTAATTGCGCCCCCTAGCGGTCATTCTAGAAACTTGAAAATAATTTCCATCAATTTCTCTTGGCCGATTTAGTGAAGAAAAAAAAAACTCGTAAGGTCTATGGTTTCCATAATATCGTACCTGGCCGACCTTAGTGGGACACCTGGTATAGGACATCCCACTTGAAAAAAGCTGGAAGCTTGCAAAATTTCACATTTCAGACATTCAAATTTTGTTTCTGACCATGGTTTCTACAAATTCAGCCAAAACTGTACAACTTTTGTATTTACACCTTTCTTCTATCTGTAAAGGTAAAGGCTGTAGGTGGGGTGTCATGTCAATATATAAAAAAACACCCTGTATATTCTAGAAACTCGGTTAATATGGAGTATGGACGTGCGTACCTCGGATAATCAGGATTTTTGGGCCTTTAGATTGGCTCGGATAATTGCGACTCGGATAATCGGAGTTCTACTGTACCTCTTAGAAGAATGTTCAATTTGTACTTCCATGTGTTTCAATTAACTTTACCTTCCAGTAATCCGATATGAACTTTACTACAAAGTTCAATTACTACTTTTTCGTACGAATTCAAGCTCTAATACTTCATCGGGAATGAACATTTTCATAAATAATAACTCTTGGCATAGAAAACAATTATCTGTCATTATTAAAGTTCGTTATGCGTTGAGCAAGAATTTTGCAAATAGAAAAGAATTTGTGTTCTCTGTGTACAAAGAACACCGTTGACTTGCGAAAAATTTTTAAACTTAATAGTGCATAAAGAGAGAAAGAACGCAAAAATCTTGATATTTCTAAGGTGGAAGACAATACTAACAGTACCAGGTCATTAGTAAAAGTCTTATATTATGTATTTGAATGTCACGATGTTAAAATATTTACCTTCGTTTTGTATGAATATTTTTTTCTAATGTAATTTTGTTTGCGTGGAAATAGCAAATAGTAACGTTACACTGTATCGATAAAAAATGAGGAACTGCAGTCTAACAAACATGTCTATAGAACCGTGAAAAAAATTATAATAATATTTTATTAAATCGCATTATCCCCAGTTTGTTTATCTGAAGACACTGACCCATGGAAAATAAGTTTGTTTTTATTATTGAAGAATTTTGTTTTGCTAA